ACACACACACACACACACACACACACACGAATTCCCTTTCTGTTTACGTAAATGCGTACTAGTAAATGTGTACCTATTTGCGTACTAGTACATTAAAAGCGCTTTTTATTCGTTTTTTAGTAGTCTTTTACCTTAACCTCACTTCTGTGTTGGAAGCCACTTCCATTTCCCATACTCTTCAGTTTCGTACACCCAGGCGAGCAATTTTTGGCACGTAGGGGGTGGATGTAAATTAATTGGCGTTCGTTTTTTGAGCTTACAACTGAGAGCAGTTGGCGTAGAAGTTTGATTAAAAAGACGATCGAGAATCGTTGCCTTAAAATTGCCGATCATCCATTCATGAATAACTATGAAATGCTGTAATTCACGTAAACTCTTTGTTTTGTAATGTTAAAAATTTCCCATTTGGTGTGGGTGAACGCAGTTGCAGTATTTGAAAACAGTGGAATGCTTCGCGAACGAGTCGCCGATTTTACGAGCAGTACAGCGTGATGGTGTATCGGCAGCTGAAGGTGATACCATACACGGAAAATATCTGGAGGAAATTGTCTCTGTAAGCGTTCTTCCAGAAGCTAGTTTTGCGGTTTGAACACTAATTTGTTGCGTTTCGTAAAAGGAAGCCTTGTCTGCCTATCCACGTTTCATTTTTTCGCATGTTTAACGCCTTCAGGCGTTGAACCGATTCGAAGCGGATGTCGGAGGGTTGCTGCGCAGGCTTTGCAGCTCATCACTTTTCGTTTTTCCACTCTGTGATATCTGTGGCTTGGTATGGTCAGTGTCCCTCATTTGATGCTTCATTTCAATATTGAGTTCATGCCATTAGGACTGCTAGAGCGATTCATTGTGGCGGTATGCGAAGATTAGATTGTCGTTGTACAATGCATCAGTCCGGGCATCCGTCCCACGTCCTTATTTTGTTTTGATCATCTTTCCTCATTCTGTCGTAGCGTTGCTTTACGCTACTGAATAGGCCAGTAACGTTTCTGTGGGTTGCTGCCATCGGAGCTTCACTATTTTATAGTTCTTCTACTGTTAATTGTGCTGTTGATGGTGGTTTTCATTTCTCTTTCCTTTTATTTTGGGAACAGAAATACTAACTTTATCACATTCTTTTGACGCTGATATAATCCTCATGTTTCACATATTTTTCATTATAACGATCAATACCTGTTGCAAATGATGCGTAAGAAGTCAGTTGCCTTAAACTTTCAAGGGGTATCAGCGTCCGGGTGCTGAGACACTCGGTGTCATATCTGTAGGTGACGGATTGGCCGTTATCCGTACAACACATAGTGCAAAAATTTCCGGAGGCGAAGAACGGAGAAAGCGTTGGTTCAGTGCGAAGTCGAAAAATTATAGATAATTCGCTTTCAGCTTTTCTTTGAGTGTGGTGGTTTTGACATGACTCGAGCACTCAATGACGCCGCGCAGAAATTACAGTCACTCGTCGACAAAATCGGTTTCCTTGTGTCTGCCAACAGTAACTCTGCCGGTACTCAGGAGATTTCCCATCAAACACCAATATCGTTAGTTCGATTTTTTTGTGATGTATGATCAGAACTACTGATATCGTCATATATGGAAAAGCAACAAGGCCTGTGCTACTGATTATATCTGTTTTCCTGTCAAAGTCATCAGGAAAGAAAACACGACCGTTCTGTTGAAATTTCAATTTCGCTGCTCTAAACCACTCATCACTGACGAAGGGCGTGTAGCAAGGGTTCTGTTTAACATCCAAATAACGCGGCGTTTGCTTCTCATTCGTATTTCGTAGACTAGGGTGGTCTGGATATCAGATGTTCTCAGAATGAGGGAGTTGCTGAGGAGCCGGGCGAGTTCGATGGGCACTTTTAACTTGCCTCGGAAGTGAAAATGTGCCACACTGTCCAGCCAGAAATTGCAGAGCAAAATACTTCCCGTTGACATAAATTTCACTGCATTGTCCATATGTAGACGGCTGTACCGAATGGACTGTGTCTTCCCCTTTAATTCCAATGTGTTTGCAAGCTGGCAGTAGTAGGATCGATCGGCCGAAAAAGAATCATCTAACGACTGATTATCACGCTGCTAAGATCTGTGGCTTTCGTTTAGTTCCCAAAACTAAAAGCATTTCTCATAAACGAGTCAGTCAGGCCTAAGCCACACATCGTCGGCAAAAGTATGCTTAGAGTGGGCCGAATCGATGAGTTTATAGTGCAGCGCTCATCAGCTGAACACCTCCCAACGGCTTAATGTAAAAATGCATGACCACACACAACCATATTACACGTCTTTGTATATATTTGTTTTAGGAAGGATTGTTGTTCACTTGGATGGCTACCGTCACTTGCTGCTTCAGTTGGTGCAACATCTACCGCGGTGAATATTAGTGAATCGAATGATGCGGAAAGTGGTGGAGATTGCACTAATATTCAAAATCCGTCTGATCCATGCAATGCCGCTCCAGCAAATGCTGTCAGTGGGATCCGCAGGGCCAGAAAGTAATCATTGTTTCAATCTTGCAGGATTTATTGGAGTTGTCGGGGTTTTTTTTCTTAGAGCATTAGTGATGATTGGATAAAATGATGTTCAGCACAGTTTTGTGCGGCGGTTTAGCTAAACGTTGTCGAATCTCATGAGTAAAAAGGTGAACAACATAAATGGTTTTTTATGCGTTTTTGCTGTGCAGCGCTATAGCGCTGCTACAGCCAGCAAAAACGCATATT